GAGAAGGGTAAGTCCAGGTCTGCCCCAGGGAGGGATTCTTCTCTTTCTTTCCTGCTCCCAAAATGCAAAAGTTTTGGTGAAAAACATCTGGTGGAAGGGCAGGGAAGTTGCTGGGATGAATTTAAATCTCTTGTGGATGCCTTGGTCCTACCAGACCAGACAGAAGCAGGATCAGCCTGTGCTGCTGCAGGTTGTCTCTCATCAGTATTGAGATGGAGATGGAATGGCTTTGGGATAAGGAGATGGGATAACTTTGGGCTAAAAGTCTTTAAAACATGATCCTGGCCACTACAAAGTGGTGTTGAGCTGGACTGGGGTCACAAGCCTCAGGAGAACTGGTGGTTGCTGCCCTGGAGTAAAAAGCTTTTCCTTGCAGGGTCACTGCTCCACGATGTGCTCCAGACAGAGCGGGTGCCACAGCTGTGGCTGCTGCTGCTGCTGCCGGGGCAGCCAACAGTCCCAGGGCTCCTCCAGCGGGGGAGGAGGAGGATCCTGCTGCGGTGGAGGATCCTCCGGAGGATCAGCCCAGAAGATCATTATCAGCTCTGGCGGCGGAGGAGGAGGAGGAGGAGGCTCCTCCGGATGCTGTGGAGGGGGATCCGGTGGCGGTTCTTCAAAGAGCATGATGGGAGGAGGAGGAGGAGGAGGATGCTGTGGTGGAGGCTCCAGTGGTGGCTCCTCAAAGAGCATGATGGGCGGCGGAGGTGGTGGAGGATCCTCTGGATGCTGCGGTGGTGGATCTAGTGGTGGATCTTCTGGGATGAAGATCATCATGGGAGGTGGAGGCGGTGGAGGTTCTTCCGGATGCTGCGGTGGCGGAGGATCTGGTGGTGGCTCCTCAAAGAGCATGATGGGCGGTGGAGGCGGTGGGTGCTGTGGTGGAGGATCGAGTGGTGGCTCCTCAAAGAGCATGATGGGCGGTGGAGGTGGTGGGTGCTGTGGTGGTGGATCCAGTGGTGGCTCTTCTGGGATGAAGGTCATCATGGGAGGTGGAGGTGGTGGAGGATCCTCCGGATGCTGCGGTGGAGGATCTGGTGGTGGATCTTCAAAGAGCATGATGGGCGGTGGAGGTGGTGGGTGCTGTGGTGGAGGATCTGGTGGCGGCTCTTCTGGGATGAAGATCATCATGGGCGGTGGAGGCGGTGGAGGATCCGGTGGATGCTGTGGTGGAGGATCTGGTGGTGGCTCCTCAAAGAGCATGATGGGTGGTGGAGGCGGTGGGTGCTGTGGTGGAGGATCCGGTGGTGGATCTTCAAAGAGCATGATGGGCGGTGGAGGTGGTGGGTGCTGCGGTGGAGGATCTGGTGGTGGCTCCTCAAAGAGCATGATGGGCGGTGGAGGCGGTGGAGGATCCGGTGGATGCTGTGGTGGAGGATCCGGCGGTGGCAGTGGGGGATCAGCCCAGAAGATCATCATCAGCTCTGGCGGCGGAGGAGGAGGAGGAGGAGGCTCCTCCGGCTGCTGTGGAGGCGGATCCGGTGGTGGCTCTTCAGGAGGGAAGATCATTATGGGAGGTGGAGGCGGGTGGTGGATCCTCCGGGTGCTGTGGTGGCGGATCAGGCGGCGGCTCCTCGGGCCAGACCATCATCATCAGCTCTGGAGGTGGCGGCGGAGGCTCCTCGCAGCAGAAATGTCCTGTTGTCATCCCCAGCATGGTGCCCCACCAGACCAAGCAGAGCTCCAGCTGGCCCTGCCAGCAGAAGTAACACTCTGGCTCCCATCAGGAATGGCCGAGTCTTTGCCCTCCGAGTTTTTCCCCAGCACGTCCCCATCCCTTGTGTTCCCTTGGTGCTGCATCCCTGTGCTGTGAACTCCCAGGTGGCTCCTCTGTGCCACAAATGTGACGGGAAATAAAGATTTCTGTGCACGGACAGAACTGGTTTGTGAGGTTCTATTCTCCTTTGTCAGTTTGCTTCCCAAAAAAAATGAGTAAAACATCCAAAACATTCTGCAGGGAAATGTTCTCCAGCCTCCGGTGCTGGAGCAAATCTTTCCTGCACCCAACATAATTTTCCCCTCTTTCATCCTGATCCCATTCCCTGTGTCCTGTCCCTGCAGTTCCTGAGGAAAAGTCCCTTTCCAGATTCCCTGGAGCCCCCGCAGATCTCGGAGGGGCTCTGAGGTCTCCACACAACCTCCTCTCCCCCAGGCTGAACATTCCCAACCCTCCCAGCCTGGCTCCACAGGGGAGGGGCTCCTCTTATCACTTTCATGGCCTCCTCTGTACTTGCTCCAACAATTCCATGTCCTTCTTATGCTGGGGACACCAGAACCGGACACAGCATTCCCAGTGGGATCTTACCAGAGCAGAAATATCTCTCCCTCACCATCCTGCCCACCATCCTTTGGATGCAGCCCACAGACAGCTGGTTTTCCTCTCAAATCAGGAAAATCCTCTCAAAAAGGACTCTCAAATTCCTCTTTGGAACTGGTGGGATTAGTCTTGAGTCCAGAAAACTTTAAGCCCAGAGGGTTTTTTTTTCACCTCACAAACAGACCTGGTTGGGAGGAAACAAAATTAGGAGTTACAGGGATCATCGGCCATGAAACTCCTGATGGAACACCGCTGACAGATTCCTGCCTTTTGGAGAAAACTGGACAGTTCTTCTCCAGGATCACGGCCCACGTTGTCAGCATCACTGTGCCCGAGGGAATCTGGTGGGAAAAGGGATCCAGGGTGCTGTAGGATCTGGCCAGGGATTTGTCCTCTCTCGTATCAACCACCACCAAGGTGTTTGCAATGAGGAGATGAAGAGGCACCATGACCCACCAGCCCTTCCCAAAGGCTCCAGGACTCCAGGAAAAAGGGCCCAGCTGAGCATCACAAAACTGAGAACGTGGCTCCAAAGCCTTTTACATCCTCATTTCCCTTTGCCCAACACAGACATTCAAACTTCTCCCAAACCTGGAGAGGTTGTGGCAGTGCCCACCCTGTACCCCAACCACACTTTTCCTACACCTCTGGCAAACAAATCCATGGGCTGCAGGGCCAGTACTTCCAGGGGTCCCACCCTGGGCTCTCCACACTCTGTGATCTGCAGGAGCTCCTCTCACCACCCCTCCAAAAACCTCCACAGCCTTTCCACATCCCTGGGTCAGGACGAGCTGCTCACGCTGGGTGTCCCTCTGTGCCAATGAGCTGCTAATCCTGAGTCTGGCTAATCCCGAGTCCTAATCTGGGCAAGTCCCTACAGGTTGAAGGCACGGAAGGGATCAATGTGTTGAGATCCTCAGGAGTACAACACCCACACGCCAGAGCTGGGAGCCAGAACAGCGGCGACACCTCAGATCTGGAGATGAGAACAGAGATAAGGCCATGGGAGGGACTCCAAGGCCAAACAAAGGAAGCCCCTGCACGTGTGTCCCCACTGCTGGTGGCCCTGTCCCCATCCCAAGGGTGTCGTGTGAGTGCTCAAAGTCACGTTCGTGGTGACAGCTGGGACCTGCTGCTGCTGTCACTCGTCCCCACGGCCAAAACCCCTATTAGTCCTTCCTCTACTCAGTGTGCCGGGAGGGCGGATGCTGCTGTCAGGCTCCAAACACGCGTGACACAGAGCTGGTGCTGGGACAGCTGTGCTGACAAACTGTCATCCTCCAGCAGGGAACACAGCCAGGTGACTGCCCTGCTCAGGCGTGGGTGGGGTGGCCACTGAAGACCCTCAGAAATGGGTCCTGCTGAGGTAGAGGGGATGTTTAATGTCCTAGAGTTCAAGGGTCAGGTCTTGATGGCCTTCAAGTGCAAACTTTGGATTCCAAGGATGGAGGAGGTTGGAACCTTGGAAGGATTCCAGGGTTTTCCCCACTCCAGCCTGGAGACTGAGACCCCTAGAAGCTGGAGCTGAGCACAGACCTCCGTGGAAGTCCAACAGCTGCTTCCACTTTGGGGGTCACAAAAGACTGGAGGGAAAAGTCCCCTTTGTCACTGTCACCCTCACAGCGTCCTCTGGCACAGATGTGGGCAGCTCCAAAGCAGGGAACTCCATTGGGCTGGCACCTCTGGCCTTTCCCAGCAGGATGGACGTGCTCCTGCTCCCCATCTTGCCAGTCCTTGAGGGAATTCTTAAAATTCTGTGTGACTCTTCTCAAGCACATCCTTTATCCTTGTCCTTCCATCACTCTGTCTCCAACTCACTCCACTTGGCATCTGCTCAGTCCCCACTCTGTCCTGAGCACCCAGGGAGCTCCATCCCAGCAGAAACACATTGGGGCCCCCTCCAAAACAGACCCCAAGATGTCGTTCGCCCCAAAAATTCGGAGCGAGACTCCCGGAAGGGAATCATTAGGCGGAATTAGCGGCTACGATACAGAACAGGGCCAATGCGCCTCCTTCTCATCTCCTCTGCTGCAGGTGAGTCAAGGAAGGAGGCAGCCGAGGCCAAGCTCTGTCAATAAATCTCTCAGCATTCCTTAGGGTGTCTCACTTCCCTCGGGAGCGTGGTACAGCCAGTATAAAAGCCCAGCCATCCCAGGGCTCCTCATTCAACCCACACCGAGCATCGCGACGTCCCCACCAGCACCGAAGGTAAGCCCGTGCATACGGAAACTTCTGGAACATCTACGCAGGGAGATCCCTCCATCAGCTTGTCCTTGGGTGTTCTTGGAACTGTGATGGCTCCAAAACCAACTGGAGGTGCCAACAGAGCTCCCTCCCTTAGACAGGGGCGTTGCAGGTGGAGCTCTGAAAGCTGAACTTTGAGCTGCTGAGTCAGTGTGAGACATCCAGAAGGATCCACACCATTTCTGAGGCGTGTCAGAGCGTGCGTGCAAACCTCGGGAAGTGTTCCCAACCTCCCTGCATGCAGAGGGTTCCTGGAACTGTTGTGACCTGCAGAGATCTCCCCGGGATGTCAGGGCAGGTCTCGGGGTGGGAGTTTAAAGTAGGGCTGCAGAAGATGGGACAACTCCTGGGAACTCTTCCTTCCTGAGCTGGGAAGGCTCAGCTGCATCTCCAAGGTTCTCCTTTCTGACAGCTCCGTTCCTTGCAGGGTCACTGCTCCAAGATGTGCTCCAGACAAAGCTCCGGAGGCTGCCATGGGATGTCCTCCCAGTCCAGCGGGTGCCACAGCTCCTCCAGTTACCAATCCGAAGGCTCCTCCTGCTGCGGGGGCGGAGGGGGCAAAGTCATCATCAGCTCTGGTGGTGGAGGAGGTGGATCCTGCTGCAGCGGGGGCTCCTCTGGATATGGGATGGGAGGGGGATACTGTGGTGGCTCTTCAGGATCAAAGAGCATCATTGGAGGGGGAAGCAGCGGAGGATACTCAGGTTGTGGCATGGGAGGAGGGTACAGTGGTGGCTCTTCAGGATCAAAGAGCATCATTGTAGGTGGAGGTAGTGGAGGTTCCTCTGGGTGCTGCAGTGGAGGATCCAGCTATGGAATGGGTGGAGGATATGGTGGATCTTCAGGATCAAAGAGCATCATTGTAAGTGGAGGTAGTGGAGGCTCCTCTGGATGCTGCAGTGGGGGCTCCTCCAGCTATGGAATGGGTGGAGGATATGGTGGTGGATCTTCAGGATCAAAGAGCATCATTGGAGGGGGAAGCAGTGGAGGGTCCTCTGGATGGTGCAGTGGAGGATCCAGCTATGGGATGGGTGGAGGGTACAGTGGTGGATCCTCGGGATCAAAGACCATCATTGTAGGGGGAGGGAGTGGAGGTTCCTCTGGATACTGTGGTGGAGGATCTTCAGGTTATGGCGTGGGTGGAGAATGTGGCGGTGTGTCTTCAGGAACCAAGATCATAATGGGAGAGGGAAGCAGTGGAGGTTCCTCTGGGTGCTGCAGTGGAGGATCCAGCTACGGAATGGGTGGAGGATATGGTGGTGGATCTTCAGGATCAAAGAGCATCATTGTAGGTGGAGGTAGTGGAGGTTCCTCTGGATACTGTGGTGGAGGATCTTCAGGCTACGGCATGGGAGGAGGGTACGGTGGTGGCTCTTCAGGATCAAAGACCATCATTGGAGGTGGAGGCAGTGGTGGATCCTCCGGATGCTGCGGTGGAGGATACAGCTATGGCATGGGAGGAGGATACAGTGGTGGCTCCTCAGGCCAGACCATCATCATCAGCTCTGGAGGTGGCGGTGGAGGCTCCTCGCAGCAGAAATGTCCCATTGTCATCCCCAGCGTGGTGTCCCACCAGACCAAGCAGAGCTCCTATTGGCCCTATGGCCAGCAGAAGTAAAAGCCCTGGCCAGCTCCAGTTCTGAGTCCCTCCCATGGCTCCTCCTTGCCTCCAGCCTGGCTCTGCTGCCTGGTCCTTCCCAGCGTGTCCTGTCCTGCCTCTGTTCCCTGGACCCTCATGTGAGATCTCCAGGATTGCCCTGCTGTACCCTGCTCCTGGTGTTGGGGTGCCTTTGATAGTGTTCTGCCACTTTTTACACCCAATAAATGTTACAACTGCTCAAACCTGCACTTTTTTTGGGAGTTCATTTCTCTCTTGCACTACCAACCCACACTTCGTGGTCTTGGGATGTGGAAATGTCTCTGATGAGATGTTTCACTCCAAAGCCACCTGGTTAATTGTCCCAGAGGTTTTTCACTTTCATTTTCCACCTGGGCTCTGTGAGGGAGGAACAGAAGACCCCAAAATTAGAAGGAACAACAGCACCAACACCCTTTGGTGCACGGTGCAGGGCCTCTGTGTCCTCTGAGGCGCCAGCACTCAATGCCACCTCCGTGGACCTGATGGGAGATGTGACCAGGCCCATCAGGCTCAGTCAGGAAGAGCAGGGATTGGGGATGACCCAACTGCAGCAGGTGGGCAATAAAACATCCGTGACAGCATCCACAGCTTTGCCATCCTCCCCTTTCCTGCAGCAAGCTGAGGGAACACCCTCAGGCTGTGCCAGGGGAGGCTCAGGGTGGAACCAGGAGGAATTTCCTCATGGAAGGATGGTCAGGCCTTGGATGGGGCTGCCCAGGGAGGTTTGGAGTCCTCATCCCTGGAGGTGTCCAAGAAAGGACGGGAAGAGGCACTCAGTGCCCTGGGATGGCTGACAAAGCAGGGACAGGCAGGACTCGATGGTCTGGGAGGGCTTTTCCAACCTCAGGGATTCTGGAATTCCATGATCTGTACCCAGAGGGAAGCCTCACCTTCAAACCAGCCAACCCAGCCTGAGGTCAGGCCGGAGGAAATAAAACCAGCATCAAATCCCTCAGGCTGCTCCAAATCTCCCTTCCAGTCTCAAAAATCCCCCTCTCCCCAGGCTTTGCACCCTGTCCTGGCAGCCCCACAGCCCCACGCACGGATTTCTGCCCGGGGATGGGGTTTTGGCCAAAACTGGGACTTTTTGTCACCACGGCAGAACTTTCCCGAGCTGGTCCAGCCTCCAGGAGCTGCTCTGCGGCCCCGCTGCTTGTTCCAAACCAGGGGAAGGAGATGAAAAAGGAGGAAGGGAGGGATGTGGAGGCATAATCCTTCATTAAAGCGTAATCCAGCCAGGCTGGGTTTAAGCATGGGGACATTCCCACCTCCGCAAATTCTGCCTTTTCTAAGCTCTCTTTGAGCACCCTTGCAAAATTCCCACTTCAGGCATCAATCACTTGGAACGAACTTCTGGCTCATGTGCAAATGTTTTCCTCGGAAAAAGTTCCCCCTGGAGCCACCGGGGAGGGATCAGGTTGTCACCAGAGCTTTGGGAGCTGTTCCTCCCCACGGTCCCTGCTACACCCACATCCCCACCCACCTCTCCCGGGGTTGGGGGCCGGAGGATTCCTGCGTAGCCCAGGGCAGGGGCGCAGGAACGGGCTCATTACTCAGAAGTGACAATTACGGCAGCGAAATGAGCGGTCTGAAGGGAGATACGGATCGGGAGTCAAAGCAAACACTGAAGTCGCAGTTTGGTAAATAAATCCTTCTCATTCCCGAGGGTGTCTCACTTCCCTTACATGTTAAACGCCATATAAATGTTCCCGAGGCTGTTTAAGCTCCTCATTCAGTCGACTTTTACCTTCTAAATGTGTTTCCGATGGCTGAAGAGGGTAAGTCTCTTTTTTTTTCTGGGATTTTATCCTTTCCTAGTCATGGGATGAGGCTGATCTGATACCTTGGCTCGTGGTGGCAGCAGGACCCCTTTGCCTGAGCCAAATCCTCGGGATTTGGGAGGGCTCCAGCTCCGTTCTGGGTCCAATCCCTGGGTCCAGTCCCTCAAGGCACCAGGGTGGGATGCAGAGGGATGAGCAGGGTAAAAACCCAGATGGGTCGGCAGGTGGGGACTGCACAGCCTCTGTGGGTTTGAATGTGCAGGGCACATTTTTATATTATTTAATAACAGCTGGACCTCAGACTGGCCACGAGCCTCTGTGGCTGAGCCAATCACCTTCTATAAAAGAATTTTGGGGCTGCAGTAACAGAGCCAGGGTGGAAACTTTTATCCATTGCTCTTGCAACAACTGAGGAAGAGAAATGAAGATGATCCTCAGTAATTTTGCAGCTCTGTGGACACGAAAATGAGTGAGGCAAAACACGGCAGTTCTCAGAGGGGAAAATAATACATTTCAGGTTTTATATTTCAGCTTTTGGATTCAGAACATATTTTAGCTTTTGGATTCTGTGGAATTAGAGGTAGAAAGAGGAAAGCTATCCCAGGAAGACCCCAGATTTCCTTGGATTTGAAGAAGTGGGGCTTGGAGCAACCTGGTCTAGCAGAAGGCGTCCCTGTCCATGGTAGGGGGTGGCATTGGATGAGCTTTAAGGTCTTTTCCAACCCAAACCACCCCACAATTCCGTGATCCTCTAACAGCTCGGTTTCAAAGCCTGGAATTGTCGCATTGCCTGGCACCAGCACGAAGTGAAACAGTGCAAGTTTGGGGATGTTTCCCTTTCCTCTTCCAGCTCTACCACTGGGAGTGTTTTCTTTCCTCTTCCAATTTTACCACCAGGGGATGTTTTCCTTTCCTCTTCCAATTTTACCACCAGGGATGTTTTCCTTTCCTCTTCCAATTTTACACCAGGGGATGTTTTCCTTTCCTCTTCCAATTTTACACCAGGGGATGTTTTTCTTTCCTCTTCCAATTTTACAACCAGGGATGTTTTCCTTTCCTCTTCCAGCTCTACCACTGGGAGAGTTTTCCTTTCCTCTTCCAATTTTACCACCAGGGATGTTTTCCTTTCCTCTTCCAGCTCTACCACTGTCTGCGGCGCAAATGGTCGCGGCAGAACCGGGGCTACAGCCGCGAGATCTCCCTGAGCCACCGCGGCTTCTGCTCGGGCGCCTTCACCAACCGCCACGGCCGCGCCTCCTTCTCGTGTGGCGGGGACAGTTCCGTCACCTACAGCCGGAGACCCTCGTCCTGCCCGCCCCTGCCAGCGCCAGCCCCCTACAGCATCTCAGGGAGGTTCTCGTGTGACACCGACGGGTCCCTCGTGGTCAGCAGTGGGGACTGTGGGGTCACGTCTGCTTGGGACCCGGTGGTGAGGACGGTCCCTGTTTATGGCTCTGGAATGGGGATGGAGTACGGTGGTGAGGATGTGGGGTCGGCCATCAGCAGCGCGGGAGGATCTGTTTACCACGGAGGGAATTCAGGAGTGGTGGAGGGAGCAGGGGCTGGGTATGGATATTCTGCACCCCTGAGTGACACCCTAAGCACGGGGAGGGTCTCTGAGGGATCGGGGTACTACAGAGGAGGGTATGGATATGGGACGTATGGAATGTATGGAACTGGGGTGTTGCCCGGGCCAGAGCTCGGCCCTGCGGGCGGGGGATGCGCCCAGGTGGTGCAGCAGAAATGCCCCGTGGTCATCCCCACCATCAAGAGCCAGCAGTGCAAGCAGAGCACCCACTGGCCACCCGTCCAGAAGAAGTGAGGGGCCCAGCAGCCTCTCCCACGTGCCAAAAGTGCCCCTGGATGCGCAGCAGCGGAATTTTCCCTCTCGACATCATTACATCACAGAGCTCTGCGTTCCTCACGTGGGGCTGTGCTGACAGCAGTGCCCCAGGAGCTGCTGGAAAAAGGGGTTTGTGCTGTGGTGATGGGAAAAGGTTCTTTTCTCCATCTCCTCTGGATCATGGGTCGGAAAATAAAATTTCACAGTCTGTGGGTAATTTCAATATTGGGATGATTTCTTTCATTACCATTTCACTCCTTCACTCAAAACGCAAATAGATCCTCGAGGAATCTCCACAACAAAAAGGACCTTTTCCATGTGTATTTTACACCCAATTTAAATGTAAATTTTATGTTAGTACAATTAAAATACATCACTTTCAACTGCCAGAGAAGTTCAGGTTGTGCCAGACTCTTCCCAGTGGTGCCCAATGACAGGACAAGGATAAACCAAACCCCAATTCCACCTCAGTATGAGGGAGAATTTATTTCCACGGAGAAGGCAGAGGAAGGAGTGGGGTGTCCCCTTCCAGACACATTCCAATCCCACCTGGAAGATCTCAGGAGAGATCTCCTGCTTCCCCAGGAGATCTCCCTCCCAACCCCAACTACTCCAGTATTTTGGCATTATGTTCTTAATACTGGCATGCCGGCTCTTTCTGGAGCTGCTCTTCCCACCCCATGGAGCCCCCAGGAGCCTCATTGGGGAGATTTGCCAATCTCCCGGGGAATTTCCGACTGATTATTATTTACAGCGTGACCTGGCAGTGAAAGGTTGTTTACCCGGCTCCTGCCCCGATGGCGAAACCCCGAGCACGTAGAACCTCGTGCATGAGGCAACTCCGAGGAGCTCCTTGGCTTCCTCCCCATAACCTGCTCATGGCATTTTTTGTTTTGATAGGATCAGGCCCTAAATTAGGCACGGGGAGAGGACGGTTCCAGTGCTGGTTGGGACGTGGGGTTTGCCCAACTTTTAATCTTCTCTTGTTTGAGTCATCCAAATACTTATTAGGAAGGGGGAAAAAAAAAAAAACACCCGTAGATTTGGGTCCATTTAAAAGTTAGACATGAAATCACATTGTTTATTTTTTACCTTTCTGCTTTCACCTACCTGGGGGGATTTTGACTTTTTCAACTCAATAAAAATACGGAAAACTTTGCCCTGGAACACCAAAGACCCAAATCCTCTGAGCTCTAAACCCGTGTTTGATGCCACAGGATCCTTCACGTGTAAAGTGTCATAAGATCATCATGTGGGGACATTATGCAAGATTTGCCACCAGCCCTATTAAATTCCATTCTAAAATTAGGCAGCGTTATCATTTATTTGCTTTTATTTCTATTTCTGAAATCTAC